GTTGTCTTATTGCCAAGGCTAGGACTTCCAACACTATGTCAAACAACAGTGGTGAGAGTGGGCATTCCTTTCCTGTTCCTCATCTCGGGATGAAAGCTCTCAGTTTTTCCTCATTGAGAATGATAATAGATGTGGGTCTTTCATGTATGGCTTTTTTGATGTTTAGGTAAATTCCTTCTATCCTGACTTTCTTAAGGGTTTTTAATAAGAAACGATGCTGTATTTTGTCAGATGCTTTTTAGGCATCTATTGACAGGATCATATGGTTCTAATCCTTTCTCCTCTTAATGTGGTGTATCACATTGATTTGATTTGTCAATATTGAACCAGTCCTGCAGCCCAGAAATGAATCCCACTTGATCATGGTCAGTAATTCTTTTAATGTAATGTTGAATTTGCTTTGCTAGTATATTGTTGAGAATTTTTGCATCCATGTTCATCAGGGATATTGGCCTGTAATTCTCCTTTTTAGTGGAATCTTTGGTTTGTGAATCAAGGTAATGCTGCCTTCATAGGATGAGTCTGGAAGCTTTCCTTCCGTTTCTATTTTTTGGAACATTTTAAGGACAATAGGTATTAACTCTGTTTTAAATATTTGGTAGAGTTCCTTTGGGAAGCCATATGGCCCTGGACTCTTATCTGTTGGGAGATTTTTGATTATTGATTCAATTTTTTGCTGGTTTTTGGTCTGTTCAAATTTTCTATTTCTTCCTGTTTGAGTTTTGGTAGTGTGTGAGTGTCTAGGAATTTGTCCATTTCTTCCAGATTGTCCACTTTGTTGGAATGTAATTTTTCATACTCTTCACTAATAATTGTATTTCTATGGTGTCGTTTGTGATCTCTCCTCTTTCATTCATGATTTTATCTGTTTGTATCCTCTCTCTTTTCTTTTTGAGAAGTCTGGCTAAGGGTTTGTCAATTTTGTTTATTCTTTCAAAAACCAGCTCTTAAATTCATTGATCTCTTATAATGTTTTTTTTTTCCTATATTGTTTATTTCTGCTCTAATATTTATTTCTCTTCTTCTGGTTGTTTTGGGTATTTTTTTGCTGCTGCCTTTCTAGCTCGTATAGGTGTAAGTTCAGGAAGTATTTGGGACATTTTTTGTTTCTTGAGACAGGCCTGAATTGCAATGTATTTTCCTCTTAGGACTGTCCTTGTACATCCCAAAAGTTTTGGACCATCATGTTTTCATTTTCATTTGCTTCCATATATTTTTATAATTTGTCTTTAATTTCCTTGTGGACCCATTCATTTTTTAGTAGGATGTTCTCTAACCTCCATATGTTTGGAGCTTTCCAGATTTTTTTCTTGTGGTTGCTTTTAAGTTTCATAGCATTGTGATCTGAAAATATGCATGGTATGATCTCAATCTTTTTATAGCTGTTGAGAGCTGTTTGTGGCCCAGTAGGTGATCTATTTTGGAGAATGTTCCATGTGCACTTGAGAAGAATGTGTATTCTGATGCTTTAAGATGAAAAGTTCTGAACATATCTGTTAGGTCCATCTGGTCCAATGTGTCATTTAGAGCCATTTTTTACTCATTGATTTTCTGACTAGATGATCTGTTCATTGTTGTAAGTGGAGTGTTAGATCCCCTACAATTATGGTATTATTTTCTATACATTTGTTTATCTTTGTGATTAATTGACTTATATATTTGGGTTCTCCCACATTGGGAAAATAAACATTTACAATTGTTAGCTCTTCTTGATGATAGACCCTTTAATTATTATATAATGCCCTTCTTCATCTCTTGTTACTGTCTTTAGTTTAAAATCTAGTTTGTCTGATATAAGTATGGCTACTCTGGCTTTCTTTTGACTTCAAGTAGAATTATAGATTGTCCTCCATCCCTTTACTTTCAATCTGCAGGTGTCCTCAGGTATAAAAAGATTATATTGTAGTCAGCATAAAGATGGAACTTTTTTTTTTTATCCGTTCTGATACCCTATGTCTTTTGATTGAGGTATTTAGTCCATTTACATTCATAGTGGTTGTTGAAAGATATGGGTTTAGTGCCGTTGTGCTATCTGTAGTTTTCATGCTTGTGGTTATATCTCTGTTCCTTTGTAATCTTTGCTGCTTTCCACTCAGAGTCCCCCTTAGGGTTTTCTACATGGCTGGTTTAGTGGTTATGAACTCCTGTAGTTTATGTTTTTCTTGGAAAGCCTCTATCTCTCCTTCTAATCTGAATGACAGCCTTGCTGGATAAAGGATTCTTGGCTGAATATATTTCCTGTTCAGCACATTGAATATTTCCTACCACTCTCTTCTGGCCTGCCATGTTTCCGTGGACAGGTCTGCTACTACCCTTATGTGTGTACCCTTGCAGGTAAAGGACCCATTGTCCTTAGCTGCTTTCAGAATTCTCTCCTCCCCTATTCATTTTGCCAGTTTAACCACAATATGTCATAGTGTTGACATATTATTGTTGATTTTGAAGGGAGTTCTCTGTGCCTCTTGGACTTGGATGCCTGTTTCTTTCCCCAGATTAGGGAAGTTCTCAGCTGTAATTTTTTCAAATAAACCTTTTTCCCCTTTCTCTTGCTCTTTTGCTTCTGGAACTCCTATGATACAGATATTGTTTCATTTTATGGAATCATTTAGCTCTCTAATTTTTGCCTCATGATCTATTAATTGCCTTCCCCTCTTTTTTTCAGCTTCATCATTTTCCATAATTTTATCTTCTATTTCACCTGTTGTCTACTTTGCTTCTTCTATCTTCACCGTTACTGTATCTAGTTTATTTTTCATCTCATTTATAGCATTTGTTAATTCATTGTGACTATTTCTTAGGACTTTGATCTTTGCAGCAATAGATTCTCTGCTGTCATCTATGCTTTTTCAAGCTCAGCTATTAGTCTTATGACTGTTATTCTAAATTCTTGTTCAGAATATTGCTTGTATCTGTTTTGAGCAATTCTCTGACTGTAATTTCTTCCTGGATATTCTTTTGAGGAGAATTCCATTTCTTCACTTTTGCTAGTTTTTGTCTTTGACGTGTTTCAATGACTTTCTATGTGTCTTGAACTTGCAAGTACTACTATATTAAAAATGGGTCATACACTGCCCAAGGCCTGACACTTCAGCAAGTGTTTTTGGAATGTGTTGCATGCATTCTGTTGTTACATTTTGGCTGCTCTATCTCTCTGGTTAGTCCTCTGCAAAGCTCCTCCTTGCTCATAGTGGTAGAATGTTTGGACCTTCCATAAGGTGTGCTTTAATTTGTTCATTGAAGTAGCTCTGGAAAAAAGGAAAGGATGGGAAGGCCATATCCTGCACAAAGAGAAAAATGAAAAGGGTGAAAAACATACCAAGCAGAGAATCAAAAAGAAAGAAAGAAAGAAAGAAAGAAAGAAAGAAAGAAAGAAAGAAT